ACAGCACTGCGTACGTTTGAAGTGATGCAATACCAAGCCAAAACTATACTAAGCTTACTGTAGGAACACGTGCGCACGTTCACATATTCATCAACAATCATTTTCCACAAGCGAAATTTTACAGGCTGATAGAAAGAACAAAAGATATGTACGTGAGTGCGTGTTGAAATGTATGCTCAACTTATGTTTCGTGTAATGTACGTAATGGACCATTTATCTTTCTTTGTTGAACAAATGTATACTTAATGAAATATTTCGATCCCGTATCAATATATAGAGAGTGTTGATACTACTTATCGTGTAATTTAATTTTAAAAGGTAATTATATGTGTATACTGTTGGTGTGGCTATTAAAAATAAATAAATAACTAAACTCACTAAGCACTAACTAGACCTTTTCCACCACAGTCGTAGCTTATTGGCTGCATTTTACACAAAACTTCAGGGTCATTAAAAGTTAGGCCTGAAATAAACGAAAAATGCACTTAATTGTTTTTACCCGTCTGCAGACGGAGAGCTAAGTTTTCATCCGTGTACATAATATGTAACTTGGTTTGTTCCGTTATGGCCTTATGCGTCTCCATCTCCGGAGTATGATAGAATATTACATTTTAAATTACAAGTACTAACACGGCGCAGGCACGATTTTACAATATGTTACTTCCCCAATATGGATTATGACAAACTACTGATAGAAGATGATTTCAAGATTCGGGTTTTATTATAATCTCATGGATCCTGTAACGTTGAAGATATGCATAAATGATATGATAATAAATGACAAATGATCTAAAACATTGAAATGCGTACTGCTCCACAAGATACTCAAATATGTCACTGCTGTATTAGAGTCTAAAATAATACACTTCAGTTTATTTGTGCCCTTCTTCTAAATTATCAAACGTGTTTTGAAGCGAAAACTTCTTTAGCATCGTTGTGATTTGAAAAAACGAAAAAGCGACACTAAAATGAGACAAATACATAAACCTATAGGAGAGAATGAGACAGAATCTATACTAATATAATAAAGCGAAAGAGGTTTTTTATTTATTTAAACACGCTAATCTCTGGAACTACCGTAACTACGTACTACGTAACGTACCTATAAAAGCCATATTCACAAGCAATACTATAGGGTATCTAGCATTAGCCTACACCTTTCAGCTAGCCTTTAATATTGATTTTTGTTAAGCAAGTCGGAGGAAAAAGCGCTTCCGAACTGCATAATCCACGTGCGCTAGCGTAATGGTTAGTGATACTGCAGTACTATCTTCTGCAAATACATATATAGATCTTTCTTCCATTTAAAAAAAAAGTACACGATACCATAGTGCTCTTTCTTACACGTTAGCCACAATAAGATATTTTGTGACGAAAAGTTAGGCATAGCATATTAATCCTTACTAACAAAAGATACTTCATCATCAAGACAATTTAATGAAGAAAAATTTTGTAATTTTTCTTTATAATTTTTCTCTGAATTTCCTGGATTTGTCTAAAGCCTTCGATCGTGTGTCTTACAAAATCCTATGGAAAAACTAAGACGGGAAAGTGGCTTGAGACCAGAGTTGGTTTCTCTGTTGGAATATTGGTACGGTAACCAGACTAACACAGTTAGATGGGGTAACGCCTTAAGTGATCACTACAAATTAGAATGCGGAGTGAGGCAGGGAGGACTGACGTCACCCAGGCTGTTTAATCTTTATGTTAACAGACTGATTGAGAGGCTCAGCAGAGCAGGTGTCGGTTGCTCAATAGACGGTGTATCGATGAATAATTTTAGTTACGCAGACGTCATGGTTTTGGTTAGTCAGCGGGCTATCGAAAGCCACGTATCCAGCTATGTGGGACTCCTCTGAGACAAGTGGCTGAGTTTAGATCCTCGGACATATTTTAACTGAACGCCTGAATGACGACAGCGACATTGAACTAGGTTCGCAGATTTGCACGTAGTACGACTCAAGTCAAATTAACTTTGTTTAAGGCGTACTGTCAATCCTTTCACACATGTAGTCTGTGGACTGACTATACGCCACGAGTCTACAGTGCTCTGCGTGTTCAGTACAACAATGTGCTGAGGTTTATGTTGAGGAGGCCTAGTAGATACTACAGTGCGGCGGCTATGTTTGCGGATTCTCATGTGGACGACTTGTACGCGAACATGCACAAGCGTGCCGTGTCCATGATGAGCAGGCTATTGAGGAGCTCCAACATCCTTCTCAGCACATTGGCTGTGAAGCTGGATAGCTCGCTATAGAGGACTTGGAATGGTGCATACACCAGCATCAGGAGAACCCCACCTGGTGTTCGCTATGTGAGGCTAGGTGTAGGTTAAGTTACTAATATAGGATAAGTACCATTGCTACTAAAATTTTAATATTAGTTTCTATTTTATTTTATACTAACATTAGGTTAAGGTTTGTTTTGCAGCCTATGACTAATGTTGGTCGAAATAAAGGATTTTATTATTATTATTAATTTCTAAATATTACTGTAACATAAACCTTTTAATAAATTTTATTATTCTGTAAATACTAGATATATTATTTATTAAACAAAGTAAGTACCGCCTTCTTAATAGACCAATGATAATTTTTAGTTATTAGACATTTTAAAGCCAACCAAGAGTTATATGAATGCTAGCTTCCAACCGCGTGGAATTCGGTCATACCGCGTTCTCTCTAGTAAATTTGAGGATAAAAAGTAGACTAGCTATTTTAGTGTTTCCAGCTATCTGAACACATCATATCGTCAAAGTCGGTTGAGTGGCTTAACATCTCTTTTCATTGCGTGTTTTCCCCAAGTTTGCGGTTTAACGCCTAAAAACGATCAAATTTGTAAAGCCTCCTTAGCTGGTAAAGTTAGCTCAATTTTAACAAAATCATTTCGGCAGTGTAGTCATGAAAGTTTGACAGATTTTCGCAAATAGACGCAATATTTGAGCTGCGCACGAAAGACGTGTTCCAGGTGAGCGTCGCCATATCTCATCTCCAATGCCTCAAGGAGCTGCTCGTAAGTCACTTCCATACCGAGAGCTTCCAGAACAGTTAAGGCCTGGTCGAGCAGGCCTAGGGTGAGAGCAGTCATGGCCTGACTTTTATTCCAGCTGTTCGCCTTCATGGCAGCCTTGAATTGGATTTTGTAGGTCGACCAGGAAGAAGTCCCGTCGAATGGCGGCACTTTGAATCCACGTAGCGAAGGTGTAGTAGCTACCGCGGGAGCTGTAATTTCATCCCCAAGTTTGAGGTCGTGCATCGTTTTCTTCCCGTCAGTCAGTCGATTCGGGTGTCAGCTTCCGACAGGCGGTTATCATGTTGAGCAACCCTATCCTTCACCTCCCTTATCTCTTTCCCGAAGGTAGCGTAAAGATCGTTCATGAGGAGCATCTGATCTTCCTTATCGCGTTTGAGCAGCTCTTCCATCCGACGGGCCTGTTCCTCCTGTCCCCACTGTAGCTGCTCTTCCAACCGACGGGCCTGTTCCTCCTGACGGCGGGCCTATTCCTGCAGCATCATCATCAGTGCACCTAAGTCAGGTACTGCAGATGCAGGAGCTGCTGACGGGCCCGCCTCCGTAGTCAGCAGCTGGCCCTCCGACGTCTGCGGTGTTGCACCACCAAATCGTATCTGGTCTTCTGCTGGCGTTGACTTCAGGTACCCTCTGTGTCATCCTTTGGTAAAATTAGCATAATTTCCCCACTTCTGACACTAATCGTTACGAGGTTAAGGTTCGAGACAATTAAAAACTGCCGATTGAATTACCAATATTGACACTTTAATTACAGAACACTAATTACAACTTAAAACGACACTAATAATAAAACACAATTGTACTACTGATCACTTTAGTCCGCAGTTATATTGCTTCGAAGTATTCGCTTGTATCGCCAATTCAATACTGCCTCGGTCGCGGTCTATACCGAATTTTTAAAATTACAAAATATGCTGATATTGTGAGAGCGTGGACCTACCCCCGCCAAGCAGACCCTTTCGTGCTACAACCATAACATAGCTGCAGCGTGACTCTACCACGTATAAAATTCTTCTTCGTCATCAATCCGTAAAGTTTATTGGACATGGGTCTGTTCCGTTGGAGGGTAAGTTTTGTCTTAATCACCACGCTTGGTAGGTGGATAACCGGTCGCAGTACCAGACGTCTTGCACCTTTGATGTTGCTCCCCGACGGTGGTCTGGGTATTTTACACCTAGATTAAATAGCTTAACGCCATCTATCGGAACGAAATGGGATGAATTTTCTTACAGGCCGTCGACATTACGACGTGAACTATAGAACGTTTTCAACATCGCAAAATGCTAATACGTTAATCGATATATGCGATAAAATTAATTGATTTGTGATTATAAATATGTACCATAAATATTGTAACCTTACCTGTCAACCTCTTCTACGAAAATAAGTAACATAATTTTAATGAAAAGTATACAGAAAAGCGTGTCTATGAAATGATAACCTTCACCGTTATATCCTCGGCCAAAGAATGCCACGTAACACGGTCCCGAGCCACCTGCATCCATTGACTTCCTCCATCTGATACCAGGTTGCCACTCCATTAAGTGGAAGCCAACATTATTCAAAACAAATTGCAAATTACCCACCAAGAGGGTTATCGTCAGTTGTATTTATAGCTTCACATGTTTGCATTAACAGAAAAACAAATAATGAAATTACAAAATATGCTGTCTTAAGAAACATAAAATCCTTCTACGCTTGCTTTATTGAATAAGAAATCAATGGAAAACAACATTAATTTCATGGTTAGTAAAACATACTAATCCACTACATAAACATAAAACAACAAATAAAAAGGCTTAAGGCTTATTTTCAATCGTCAGAATAAAAGTTATTAATGAAATACATTTTTATTTTATTAATTCAACTGTAATATTCGTAATACAACATATTATATAAATTTAGATTATGTAGTATTTTATTCTATATATAACTTTTATCTAATGATTGAAAGATCATCACTATCAAATTTAACGTGCACGTTCTGCCAGAGAAGCAAGGCTCACAATGGCTTGATCTAAAGCTTGCCGCTCAATTTCAGGTGTTATCGATTTTTTAACATTCTCCAGTATCCAAGTAATCATCCACTTTTGGTGAATATTAGTCTCAATTCGATGTCGTTTCGCGTGATAATCTAAACGTCCTTTTAAACTTTTGTACACATGCATTAATCTCTCCCGATAAACGGCTTCTAGTTGCATTGCTACGTTCTCCTTTTTTGCTTCTATTAATAAGTTTTGCCCCTTGGCTCTAAACTGCGCGTCTTTAGCTTCCTTTATTATATTTTCAAAATGCGCTTCTTCTTCTTTTCTTCTAGACTTAAAACTTTCCTCTACTGCATCCACATCCTTGTCCAAACTAGCTGCTAATACTGGACCCAATTTAGTAGTGCCATAGTAAGTCATGACAAAAATTGATAATCCTATGTAATAATCGTGTTCCATCACATAAATTTCTTTGCTTAACATGTAGTTTCCAAGCATTATACCGAAAAGGTAAGGCCCCGTAACACCGGTCTTGGGATAAAAGAATACAAAATATTCCTCAGGTATGAAGCCCAAACGTACTTTACCAGACTTGATTGCGCGCTTAAGTTGTCCTTTAGAGCTTGGTTCATTATTAGACGTACGCGATCCGCATGGCATCGATTTTTTCTTATTCTCTGGACATGTTTCAGTATGAACAGTACAAAAGACTTTTGGATTCAAATAATGTAACCTATTATTTAACCTTATCATGCTCTGAATCAACATTGTTATCTAACGTAAATCAAACTATAATTATTTGACATGCCTCAATATTATGTCATGATGACATAATCAAGATTTATTTATAAAATGTCATTAGGCCCGTTTTCCGCTTTTCCTTACGTTTTTTTCGCATTGAATTAAGTACCGACATACATAATCTGTGTTTTAATCTGATTTTGTTTTTTATAGACTTAAAATAATATGCTTCGTACATAATGTTTGTAATATAGGTCTTAGTCTCTACTTGGTTTTAATCGTAACCATAGACTTAACGCTAGTATATTCTTAAAGGTTAAAACAGTAATTAAAAACCCCCGACTGCGTAAAATTTTACTGAAAAGAGAAATAATTTATACCTTATGTCACTTTTTTTATAGAATAAGGGTGACAAACGAGCACACAGCCCACATGATGGTAAGTGGTTGCTGCGGCCCATAGACATCTACATCTATCTTCTATTACAAATCAAAATGTAGATGCGTTGTCACCCGTGAGGACCAAGATGGAATGCCTCATTTCCAGTAAAAAGGGCCTCCGGCCACCTGCACTCACCAAGCGAAACGCAGAGGTAAACCTCTACTTCACGCTGGTTTTCTGTGAGATCGTGGTACCACCCCGGTTCGAGCCGGCCCATCCATGCGACAGCAAAAGCTGCCGCGTGACTCTACCACTGTTTATCACTTATACAACTAAGGCTAACCTAACGACACCCTATACGTTAAATTCCGTTAAGCCGTTAAAATCACAGAGCATACCAAAGAAATAGACGTACGTATATCATACGTACTTTTTTTTTATATAGAATAGGGGGCAAACGGGCATGCGGCTCACCTGATGGTAAGTGACTACCGCCGCCCATGAACAACCGCAACACCAGGGGAATTGCAGATGCGTTGCCGGCCTTTTAGAAAGGTGTAAGCTCTTTTCTTGAAGGTTCCTAAGTCGTATCGGTTCCGAAAATTCGCTGGTGGTAATTGATTCCACAAAGAAGTTGTGCGATGAAGAAAACTTCTTCTAAATCGCACAGTGGTGGACCGCCAATCATCCAGATGGTATGGATGGTAATGCGAGTTTTGTCGCGACGTGCGATGGTGAAATTGCGCGGCTGGAATTAGTCCGAACAATTCCTCAGAGCACTCACCGTGATAGATGCGATAAAACACGCAAAGAGATGCAACATCTCTACGCAGTGCCAGTGTATCGAGCCGATCGGAAAGAACTCGGTCGTCGACGATTCGAATCGCTCTGCGCTGGATGCGGTCAAGTGGAAGGAACTGGCACTGGGGTGCCCCGGCCCAGAGATGAGAACAGTACTCCATGTGGGGCCGAACTTGCGCTTTGTAAAGTTGCAAGCGATGTGTCGGCATGAAATACTGTCTCGCTCTGCTGAGCACGCCAAGCTTTTTAGAGGCCAATTTGGCCTTCCCTTCCAAGTAACCACGAAACTGCACGCTATTCGATATGTCGAAGGATTCCGATACTGGCTGAGGCAGCAAGGGGAGTGCCTTGAAACTGAGGAGATACGACAAAGGGGTTCTTTTTAGCGGTAAACGCGCAAACTTGTGTCTTCTGGGGATTAAACTGGACTAGATTTAGTCGGCCCCAATCCGAGACTTTGTTAAGCAAAGACTCGACTTCAGACACAAGTTTGGCCCGGTACTCGGCGACGTTTTCCCGAGAAATATTGGCACGGCCGATATATAAGGCATCCCCAGTGCTGTCGTCTGCATAGCAATGAATGCTACCAGTTAGCAACATATCATTGATATGCAAGAGAAACAGCGTTGGTGATAGCACGCAGCCTTGTGGAAGACCAGCGTTGATAGGCTTGAAATCAGAGCATGCACCGTCTACTACGACCTTGATGCTCCGATCAGCAAGGAAACTGGTGATCCATTTGCACAATTTCTCGGGAAGGAAGCTTCAAAAGAAGCGCCTTGTGCCAGACCCGATCGAAGGCCTTCGCTATGTCCAAGCTAACGGCCAATGCCTCCCCCTTGGACTCTACTGCCTCCGCCCATCTATGAATTAAGTAAACTAGAAGATCACCTGCTGATCGACCCCGACGAAAACCGTACTGACGGTCACTGATCAGCTGGTGATCCTCAAGGTACCTCATGAGCTGGCAGTTTATAATGGATTCCATTATTTTGGAGAACAAGGAGGTGATGGCGATAGGCCTGTAGTTGGACGGGTCTGAACGGTCGCCTTTTTTAGGGATCGGGTGGACCAAATCTGTCTTCCATGAATTCGGGACTACGCCTTGGGAGTAGGAATACCGGAAAAGACGCGTTAAAACCGGTGCCAACTCCGGAGCACACGTCTTCAGCACAATGGGAGGGACTCCATCGGGCCTACTCGACTTGCTGACGTCCAGGGAGAAGAGTGCTTTGCGAACTGAGCGCTGTTTAAATCGCACATCCGGCATGGAGCACTCACATCGCGGGATGGTCGGCAGTGTGTTCCCCCCGTCATCTAGAGTCGAGTTAGACGCAAAAAGAGAGCACAACAGGTCGGCTTTCTCTTTTGCGGCATGGGCCAGTGAGTCGTCCTCTCTGTGCAGAGATGGAAGGGATGGCTGACAGAAGTTCCCTTGGACAGCCATGGCGAGAGACCAGAATGCACGGGTTCCCGAAGGAAGGCGAACTAGCTTCTCGCCAATTCTGCCGATGTGCTCAGACCTTGCCTTGGAAATGACGCTTTTGAAGGAACTGGAGGCAGAATTATACTTCTTTTTAAGTGCGCTGGTGTTCACATGCCGAGACGTTGATGCGTCAGCCCAGGCCCGGTAGCACTCCTGCTTATAGCGTGATGCTATTTTACAGGAGCGACCAAACTATGGCTGGGATCTGCCTCCGATGGGCACCACAGAGGATGGAATAAAAAGTTCCATACCCTGAAGTACCACATCAGCAACAGAATCGGCAACAACTCTGGGATCTTCCGGCGAGAAGCAAACCCGAACAAGCGATTGGAGCGTGAGTGGCACCGTGCTCCGGATCAGACAATGATCCGAAGAGCCCAGAGGGGCATCGACGGAGACCTGATATCCGTCCGGATGAGAGGTCAGCAGAAGGTCCAACAGGGAAGGTACATGGTCTTCCACATCTGGGATCCGCGTAGGTGAAGTAACCAGTTGTGTTAGACCATATGCCAAAGCAAAGTCGTAGACAGATCTACCCGCATGATCGGTTAAACGAGAACCAAGCCATTGAGCGTGGTGGGCGTTGAAATCACCGAGTATCACGATCTCTGCGGACGGGACCTGTTGTAGCACGGAGTCTGCAGCCATTTGGACGTGGTCGATGAGTCGGTCTGTGTCGGCATTACCGCTATAGGACCTATAGAGGCACCCGTAGACGCAGGGATGTTCGTCGCTGTCTACGCGCAGCCATAGGATGGACAGGTCCGTACCTTCAAGGCTGCCGAGGCGTCGAAAACAGATGTCCTCTCTGACGTATACACAAACTCCAGCCCGGGGCACAAAGGAGTGTTCCAACTTGTATCCCGGGTAGGAGAGATATGAAGTATCAGCCGGAGAGGACACCTGAGTCTCGGTTAAAAAGGGCAAGGCCGGCTTCGCCGTCTCTAGATGGTAATGGACAGCGTTAAGGTTGGAATGAAGTCCCCTGATGTTGCAAAAATTCACGGATAGCGTGACAGGAGTCGCCTTGGTTGTATTGCTCCGCTTGCCCCGAGCAGCCTGAGCACCCACACTCAGGAGTGAAGTAGTTTGGTCGTGGATGCTCAGCGAGGGATTCTCCAGGGGTGCTGGTACCCTCCTGGGGTAGTCTTTTATTTAATTCCACTACCATGTTGATGGGGAAAGGGGAATTGGGCCTCCGGCCACCTGCACTCCCAAGCGCAACGCAGAGGTAAACCTCTACTTCACGCTGGTATTCTGTGAGGTCGTGGTACCACCCCGGTTCGAGCTAGCCCATCCGTGCGACAGCAAAAGCTACCGCTAGGCTCTACCACTGTTAGAAAAACACTACCCTCCGTCTGGTTAAAAACAGTACTCTCGAAAAACATTACCCTCCGTCTGGGGCAGTCAGGTTAAAAAAAGTGTTACCGGGATACGATATCCTACTTCTTTTTTCAAAGCACGAGCATTATTTTATTAAAACAAACTATATGTAGTAGAGGACTGCTGCAGCTATATCATGGTTATAGCACGATTGGATCGGCTCGATTGGGGAAGGGCCATCTCTCACATAATACCACCATAAAATAACAACTTAGATAGATTAGTGTAGTGAACCGAAGACCCTTTTAACTGAAAGCGAGGCATTCCATCTTAGTCCGCAGGGTTGCAACGTATCTGCATTTTGTTTCTTTATTTATTTATTTATAAGCAGTATGTATTACCTAGCACAATATATATATATATATATATATATATAATATATATAATATATATATATATAATATGTGTATATATTTATATATATATATATATATATATTGTGTTAGGTACTAAGTAAACCTGTCTTATAAGGTTCCAGACCTTCCATATTGTAGACATTGGTACCTTTAACAAGCATTTTTAAATATTTATAATTTACACAATAAGAAATAAATAGTATCTCGTCTGGAAAAATACACTGAAATACATATAGTATAAAATATGACATAAACAATGGGTAATAATGGACAAATTTTGTTAAAGTTTATTTGTTAGACGTGATTTATGTATGAAGGACAACGTGATTGACTGATGGTAACTACGGTAAATAATTTTCTTATTTATCTTATTTTACTGTCATCAACAAACTAATCAAAGATAGATGTAGATATTTATGTGCCACAGCATCGGGTGGACTGTGTGCTTGTTTGTCATTCTTATTCTATTTTTTTTTAAACTAAGTATTTTAGAGATGCATTTATTAATAATCCACCAATTCCCTCTCGTTGGTCTGGTTCGAATCTTGGTTTGAGCCAAAAATAAAATAAGTTATAAGGTTATTCTGTCAATAAATTCTCGTAGCAGCCTGAACTTAAGAAGTTACCAGTGTCACAACCCTGTGCCTCGGAATGCACGTAAAGCTTTTGGTTCTACGCCTCATCTCTCTCTCCGGTCGTATTGGATTCATCATCATTACAGCCCTTCACAAGTCCACTGCTGAACATAGGCCTCCCCCAAAGAATGCCACAAAGCACGGTCCAGAACCACTTATTGGATTAGCGTCAACTATTAAATAAATTATAAATACTATATGTATGTGGTGAAGCTATTTAATTATTTTTCTGTATTTAATCTTCAATACACCTGGGGTGGTTGGTGCCGGTACAGCTGCGGATGAATGCTACGAAGGTGATATATGTAGATATAAGTCCAACTTATCCCATCCTTGTCCCACGACGCGGGTATGTACAGACGTTTCCTCACGAAGAAAGGCTAATTATTATTTCCCCAAAAACATGTCGTGACGGGAGAGCTTCGTAGCCGTACAATCATCAACTACATAGATTTCAGAATAATCCACATGACTTCAACAGTCGGTCCAAAGATTTGGTGAACGGCGGGGAAAGGGGTTTCAGTTAGTTCTGTTAAAAATAAAACAACAGCGTATTTACAGGGTGTATAGGCCGTATCAAAATAATTGTTTGACTGTTACTTGTACAAACAAAAGAAATATTGTGTAATTTTCTCTTCTACATTTACATATACATTTCGAAAATCAATGAAATTACTATATTACCTATCTATAATGGAGATATCTTCCTAAAGGTAATATTGTAAAAATACTTTATAGTTGGTTATTAAAAAATCATTTAAATATACAATACAATCATATAATACATACAATACAATTTTATATTTTTTACAATCATCTGTTTTCTCATAATCGATAATATATACAACTATTTAAATATGTAAGTCAAGCAGCGTGTATAATTGCTGCATAAATTGAACGTATTCTATGAATGTTTAATAAAGTTCCTCAAAACGTGTATCCAACAACAACAGGAAGGAGCTTAAAGACGGTATTTGGCGGCACGAAGAATTGGATATTTGTCGCCAGTACAGAGACCACGGAAATCATCCATAGAGAGGTCAACAATGGAAACTCCTCCCAAGTTCTTAGACCTGCGAAAAAACGAAATTTAATTAGAAGCGCCCATGTGTAAACGTAAAATTAATTATTTATCATAATGTTACTAATTTTATATTTAACGTTTTAATGTAAGTTTTTATTAATTTGGTTACATAAACGTAATACTGTGTAAAAAGTGACTAATTGAGAAACAACCATTGATTGATATGTCACACAGTATGCTGTTGATATACAAGCAGGCAGCTGATGGATGCAAGTGGATCAGGACCGTAATTTGTGGCAATGAAATGGAAAATAGGGGAAGACCTACTTTCAGCAGTGGACTAGTGATGGATTGTAATCATACCGATACTGTTGATCATGATGATAACACTGTAAACAGCCGGTGGGTTCTGTAAATGCTGCGTTTATTGGTTGCGATGTGGCGGCACTGTCGTCACGCCACAAGCGAAACACATCGAAGCCTAAATTGCACTAACTCTCTCTTATGATTTCAGATATTGTCTCATTATCATCGATAGATTTACACGATGGCCTGAGGCGATACCCCTGAAAGACACCACAGTATAATCCTGTGCCTCCGATCTGGTATCTGGGTGGACAGAGGTCGTCAGTTCGACTCCTGCTTTTTTAAGGCAATCACATCCATGGTTGGTGCTCGTCATTTCTGCACAACTGCCTACCACCCATCTGCTAATGGAATGGTGGAGCACGTACATCGCCAGCTGAAAGCTGCCATTATGTGTCACAACTCTACACAATGGACTGAGGTACTTGAGGACAATGACGAACGTTTGAAGTTGTATTTTCCGAAGGTTATTGGTTGTGTGTTCAGATCACGTCGGGGTTACCAAGGTAAAGGTAAAAGGTAGAAGAAGTTATCCCTGCTAGACCGGGTCTTATAACTGAATATTTAGATTGGGTTACACTTTTCTCCTTTAATCAATGATTTTACGCTGTTATTTATGGTGTCAGCGTTTTAAGACACTCCTTTGTTATGATGTGTTTCGATACGGAAATTTTATTTAAAAGTAGTGGCGTCTTAAAAAATCCACTATCTCATATTATTCTATGATGTCACAAAAGGCGACAGAATGAAACTAAACAGGAGGTGAGTGAGAGTGAGTGCAGCAGCATCATCCTAATAACAACTCAACATAATAGAACTGCGGTTGCCAACCCGCCTGACAAATGTGGAGGCCTTTGTTCAACAAAAGACTTGATAGGTTGTAATGACTGCATTAATTAATGCATTAATAATAAAATAGATATACTGAAGATAATGTTAAAGCTGACATCAGAGATTGTACAATCAACGTTTTAGATTACTTATTTAAAATATTAATAGACATTTGACTTTGACGTATTGATTTTCTTACAGGCTGTTAATTTAAAAATAATAAATGTCGAGAAGTTTTGGCGGGAACTTGACCGGCGGCGGTTTGCTGCTCCTGTATTATTGTTTAAATAATGGTTTGAAGTGGACTTTGATATACAAAAGTGGTGCGATTTTGTATATTAAGTGTCTACGCATGTGAACTATTAGTGGAAACGGTAAAACAAGTGCTCTAATGGTGATGTGATCCTCAATATAAGGTTGTCTGCTTAGGCGCCTTGAGATACCATTGCCAACTGTCTGCTGGCTCAAGTCGCCGTTAAAATCTCCCGAGGACTTCACAATGTGTCGGATCAACATATTGTGAAGCAGTGTACTATGAAGGGTAATTATACATTTGTACTACGAAGGATAATTATACATTGAAAAATGGAAAACATGGCTGACGCACAAACCGTGCAGGCCAAGAAATAGGGAAAAAAAATGTCTCCAGTTTTTTTTGCTGGTTCTTCTCTGGGAAGGTCTTGTTTTTAAAACTGGTATAAATTTTGACGTTCATATGAGTCAAAGTAGTTTAATTTATCAGCCTAAATTAAAAAAGTACTATGAATGATAAGTAAGTAGTTCCATCCGATGTTTGCAAATCAAAATCTGGCTATTTTGTTGATCTTCAAGCTTTTTAAATGATGATATAGATATCGCCACAGTATTAAATAACATATGACGCCGTTGTAGTTCAAGAACAACAATAATTTATCTTTTATACCCAATTTCTCATTGACCACGTTATCGAATGAAGCGTTTACGATCGCATTTATAGCTCCAATAGTTCCTTTTTTATTTAAAATAAATTACTTTCTAAGATCATTCGAATGCAAATAGATTTTAAAGTAGTTCACAATTTCACCATAGCAAGACGTTTTGTGGCACAAGTTCCGTAAAATGGGACTAAACGGTAACTATGACTATGTGATGATTCATACGTACAGTATAAACGTAAATAAGGTCAAATCATGCAATACTTACTTAACGAATGCAGCCTTTTGACCAGCCGTGTCTGGATCCTCATAGCTCACCCAGAGTCCGCCTTCGCCGCTGTCATCGGGTAAACGGAACGCATAAGTTCCTGTCAACAAACAATCTCATTCTATTCAGGATATCCGTCACCGTCAGTAACAGTGCAAATTACTCATATTCTCAAAGAATCGGTGCTTGAATCGGATAATAGGATGAACATTTTATGAAGTACAAAAACTTAGGAATAAGTTAGAAAGATAAAAAAGATAATGTTAGATTTTAGTAAGAAATTATTAAGAACAACTTACGTTAAAAATGTAACATATTAGTATAAAGCTTATTAAATTTATTAACATTTGCAGTTGGATAACAACAATACACATCAGATATAATATTGTGAAATGTGATAGCGGCCTTTCCTAACTTCAATTAACTTCAACCAAAATGTATTCACCATAATGTATTAAGATAGTCTATTATAGCAATTCACAATGCTGTGTTAGTCCCTACCTTAATGTATGGTGGTAAAAGTAGGGTTCAGCAAAAGAAGCATGGGAGTAAAATTGTTGCTGTAGAAATGCGGTCATTAAGAAGTATGAAGAATGATGAAGTCCTGACTCTGAATCATTAGGTGAGAAATTGTTTGATTTACAAAATGCAACCTTCGGGAGCATGTAGAAGTAATAAATAAGAAATTAGTTAAAAAGCAAATTTATGCTGCAGAAGTGAGTAGCAGAATCAACAATGGGAGACCATAGACGTAGGAAATTCATAGACACACTTGGCGATACACTGAACATGAGCCAAATTAACTGACGAGTCTTAACCGACGAGCGCATATATAGTTTCTGCCTATCCTACTAGTTCACAGAGGTAAAAGTTTATTTACGTAAGTATGAATGTTCAATGTAAGCTACATACATAAATATATGTACATTCCAATCAAATATTACCACCGACACCTTATAGTATTTTAAGAAGTAATTAACCTACTAGTATGTTAAGAATTTATTAAAGCCGTAAAGCCGAATGCAGGCTATAAATGAGTACCAACCAAAAATAAATGACAAATCGGCATCCTTGGTTAAGCCCTTCTCTGAAAATTTAAAGGCAGCTTCTCATTCCCAATGTCTTAAGCTTTAACCACAAAAGCACTCAAAGTCATAAAAATACATACCGAAACGTTTGCTGGGATCGGTCACCTTTCTTAGATGTGGCCGCATTCCTTTCTGGTGGTTGGGATTAATGAGTTTGGCACAAACTTCAGGATAGCTTAAGATTCCTTCGATTTTGGTGTAAGGTCCTAAAAGCAAGAAATGATGCTATTTTTATATACATAGGTAACTCTCACCTATAGAAAAAGAATTGTTATTCTTCACTGCACATACACACAACTTTTACTCCTTTCTAGGCTCTGTTTACTAAAAAGAACTTCTTTCCTCACAGGAAAATACCGAAAAAATAAAGTGCGGATTAGCGGAATTAATTTTTTTTTTGCTATTACGTAAAAATACCCTTTGACTCTAAGTAGTTTGTTTGTGTATAAAATATTTCAGTATTTTTTTTTAAGTGCCTTGTAAATCGCCACTTAAAATTGCTATTAGCAATAATTGCTAGATAGAGCAACACGGGCCACCAGCGTACCGGAGTTATGTGTGAGTTTCGTAGTGATAGATGATTGTTTTTGTGTGCACAGATTTCCTCCCGCAAAAAATAACAGATAATTCTGAATCGGGGAAAAACGCTATGGCTACTCCCCTTCGAAGTGGCCCACGTTGCTCTATGTTGCTAGATTAACAAGTAAACTAAAATATTTACTATGGTAACGTTGAGGTTTAAACTTTTGAGGTTTTTACGTGATGGAGCCATGCTGCAGCTACTCGTATATTATGATTGCAGCACGAATGGGTCGACTCGACCGGGGAAGGACCACGTCTCACAAAATACCAGCGAAAAATATCTATTATGTTTCGTATCGTGAGTGTATATAACCGGAGACCCTTTTTACTGAAAACGAGGCATTCTATCTTAGTCCTCAGGGTTGACAACGCATCTGCATTTTCATTCTTAATCGAGGATACTTGTAGATATCTTTGGACCATAGCGTCCACTTACTATCAGGTGAACTGTGTGCTCGTTTGTCATCCTTTTTCTTTAAAAAAAAACCTTTGTTTGTTAGTGCTATGATTTGAATCATCAATTTGCCGATAGAAAAGTCCTACACTTTCGACATTTACATAATAGTGTGGGATCGCTGTTAAGAACTATATTTCCCAATAAGTATATAAATATTATTAATATATTTTCAAATAAAAGTTCTTAAGTGAAGTACCTGCTTCGCCGGGTCCATCAGTGTGAATTGGAGGAACTCCAGAAATCTCACTTTCAGAGTCAAGTTTCCAGGTGCGGGCTAATGTACTAATACCTAAAACAATCTTGTAACTGGGGGCACCGGCTTGAAGGCTATAATTAAGAAAATAATAGGAATAAATTTAAAGATATAACAAAATCGTTCTAAATTTAAAAATTATAATTTGAAAATTATTTAAAAAGTAGAACCGGGTTCGAGAACGAATTTGCGACCATCTTGTTGACTACTACAAAAATTCAGAAATGTCAAATCTAAACCAAATAAGACTGCTGATGGGCAGCCGCATTATCAGTTTGAAGGTTCTGCATTCTCACTACACACATTGCACCTGATGGTACGTGGTTGCTGCGGCCCATAGACATTCACATCTATTCTCGATTACAAATCAAAATGCAGATGCATTGTCACCCGTGAGGACTAAGACGGAATGCCTCATTTCCAGTAAAAAGGGTCTCCGGTTCTCTACACTCACCATACGAAACACAGCAGCGTCAAGCTGTTATTTTACGCTGGTATTCTGTGAGAGCGTGGTCCTTCCCGGTCGAGCCGACCTATTCGTACTACAACTATACTACTAATATAGCTGCAGCATGGCTCTACACGTGTTACCACGTGTTTCGATCTTAAGGCCTTTATTAGAGAGTCAACTTAATCACAGGCTGTAAGGTATTCTAACTTAGTCCTCAGATATGACAACGCACCTGTCGTCTTTATTTGAAGTTGCTTGGAGTTGTCCATGAGCTGCAGAAGCCAATTACCATCTGGTAGAATGGGAGTTCGTTTATCACGTTCATTTTATTTAGACTTACACTGCTTTGTATGCATTATGTAGGTATAAACGACTTTTTTAGTACCGCAATCTGCATTCTCAATTATTTGGCTACTGTCACTTTCTATGTTAATTTAATTAACATAGCAGTCGCTTCAGTATAAATAATTAGAGAGGGTGGTAGCTAACGTTACGTTGCTGCGAGCAACGGATTCGATTTCGGCACTAACTTATATAACTAATATGTGTATGATCTAAAAATATTTTTTATTATATAGATGGTTGTACATGTGTTATTTATGTTTGTTAAATTTCTCCACGACACACGAGAAATTAGTGTAGCATTAACGTATTTTTTTTTAAAGACTTGGCGTAAATCTTGTACAAGTAGTATTTTAAACATGGCCTTTTTGGGCGGATAAAGTTATTATACAAATGAAAGTGGAAAGGGATAAAGTAAAATAAAGTTACGGCCTTTATACGACTCACTCCTGGAAACAATTTTATAGATGATTACCTACGAGGCTCGAACCCCGGGTACTCGAGTATGTCAAATTTTCAGCGAGCGCTTAGCTTAGACCCTGGGCTAACAGAGCTCAAAGGAAGGCATGTTTTTATACACTTTTACACTCTCTTTTATAAATATCTTCGGGCGGGTGATTTCCGGATCTTGACAACAGCGCCACCTATCGGCTTCAATTGTGCCACCTATCGGCTAAACTATTCTGGAATCAACTTAATCACCCACACAAAATTTCATCAAAATCGGTCCAGCCGTTTAGTTTAGTCACGTAGGTACACACGGACAAAAGAATTATATATATTATACCCGGTAAGACATGCAGGAAGTCGATGGATGCAGTTGATTTAGGACCGTGCTTTGTAGCATTCCTTGAGGGGGGGGGCGGCTATGTTCAGCAATGGACTTGTGCGAAGCAAATTTATTATAAAGTACTAATATTCAAATCTCTTACGACACCGTATACTAGGCGACTATCATCATCCTTGGCATCTCATGGGTTGGCAATAGGTTGTGGTACAATCCACTCGTCAACGCCATATATACTATACCCAGACTGGCGACGGGGATCAGCGTTAAAGTTGCGAAGCCCATGTCCAAGGGGCTTCTGCGAGCTGAAGAAGGAGAAGTAGAAGAATCTACTAACAAGTAAGAAACAGCCGCATTAGCGTTTTGATGCTCGTTCCTGTTCTGGGGAGTGTAGACTGGAGCAGTGTAATCCGCTTCTTTAGGGTTCCTCTCTGGAGTGTAGTAGTCGAAGGCCTCCAAATTTACGTAATCCACGTGATTAATGATGGCAGGAACGTCGATGTAAACTATAATAAAAAATAATAAAAATAATTATGCAAGTAATGTAAGGAAATTACCAATTTTGTTTGTGTTGAAGTAGTAAATAAAGAATGAGAATAGTTTCTGTACTCTTTAATCTATTTACTATAAACAAATGAAGAACATAAATTAAACCTTAAAACTGTACATATAGCAACGAAAATAGCTTGTTTTGAATTACTACATCAATTAACCTTCTAGAATAGCTATTTAATTCAATGAATACGTAAACACAATAAAAATTTTATTTAGATACTTACTGGATGCATTTACATTAGGGAGAATAGTAACGGCCAATTGCATGTTCGGTTTGAGGCTAAGCGCCTGCTTCATCTCGCGAACAAGCGCGGTGAAACCTTCGCGATGTTCAGGTTCTTTGTCGTCAACGGGCGTGGTGGCGAAAGTTTTCTTGATTCCGTGCCAGATTGATCCTTCACAATTAAGAATAAAGAGAACGTTAATAAAAACAGTAAAAGAAAAGTTACATCGTTTATACGTTTCTGCTATGCTGCTAGGCACAGGTACGTTGTAAAAACTATCTAACAGCACTAACATCACAGACAAGTGGTAAAATTAAACATTTTGTACAACCGACTTCAATATAAGTAAAATGAGATCATCAATGTAGTCGAAGTCAATTAAATATGCATTATTAAGGATAACTCAAAAACTACTGATCAGATCTGGGTCAATATTATATACAATATTATACAATACCACATGATAAGCACCAGCTTTCTAATAAAAAAAGAATCATCAAAATCGATTCACCTAGAAAGAGGTTCTGAGGTAACACACAAAAAAATAGTCGTATTGAGAACCTCCTCCTTTTTTGAAGTCGGTTTGAAAATAAATAGTCGCAGACCTCTCATTGCTGAAGGCGATCGGGTCGGCAATAATTAAATGCAATTTTAAGTACAGATTTGCCACATGGATGGAGGTAAAGGAAAACATCGCAAGAAAACCTTTGAAAGCATGTCTGAGAAATAACATTACTACGAGGCCATGTGAAGTCTGCGAACACGCACTAGAGCAGCGCGGCGGACTTATTGCTTCATAAAAATAGTATTACAAACAAATAATCATTTTTTAGAATTAAGATCTTTGTTATTTATTTTAAGATTCCAAATCGCTTACAAGTTAAACAATATGTAACTTATTTATTTTTAACTTTACTTTTATCTAAATAGTAAAAAGAACACTAAATAACATAGAGATAGGAATTTACACTGGTCAGCAAGGCGTTCTCAGTTTAATATTTTCTGCTGGACCCCAAAATTGTTCACAAATTTTGACTACGCCAAAACTATGTTGGAAATGTTCGGAAATTGTCATCTCCGCAGGATATATTTAATCACAAGGGCATGTCAAATCAATCGTCCTTATCTTCTTAATGTTCATGTTTCTCAAATTCAATATCCGAATTAAGATTAAGGGCAAAGTTAGTTCAAAATAATATTATTAAACATCTTATTAAAAAGATGTTTTTTTTTGTTAGTCTGAGGTTCTGAACCTGTTTTACAAAAGAAGTACCGCGGAAATGTGCGAATTAAAATTGTGCAATATGGAATTTGACAGCACATTTCAAATTTGCCTATTACAAAACGTGGTTTAATGATATTCCATGGCTTATACTTTGCTTTAAAGATAATTCTAACTAAAAAAGTCCCTCAGCCGTAGCGCTACAGTCTTTGAAATTTTACATTTAATGTCAAATTCCATACTTTACATGTCAGTTCTCATAATATTACCGCGGGACTTCGTGAAACAGAGCTACTTTTTGTAAAAAAAGGAAATATTAAAATGTCGTTGATAAATATAAAGCAAAGTACTGTTCTGTGTCAAATAGCAGAACAACAATGTACAAATATTGCAACAAAATACCGCAAACAATGGAAGAAATCGCTTGTGGTAAAAAAAAACTTATTGTAATAAGGCAGAGTGCTTGTATCGGAGATTCAAGAATTTCAATGCAATTTCAAAAACAGAAGAATGATTACGATAAAACTATATTTCAACTTTCAAATATCATAAATATCTCACCCCAGGTTGAGCGTATTTTCTTGGGTTTGATCTTAGGGAACTGCCATGCCAGGTCGATACCGTCGAAGCCGTGTTGCTCAGCTAAGAGCACTCCAGAGTTCACGAAAGCGGTACGAGCTTGCGGAGATTCCAGCTATAATTTGGAACAATTATAAAAAATTGTAGTGTATACATTGGTGAAGGTAAAATTAATTGTTGTATTGGTGAGGATACACAAACAAGAAATTTTAAGAGGTTATTATATAAAAATTGAGTGAAGATTTATTTCTTACCAATAAATTGTATTTTTGGGGATCTTCCGTATCAACATCTCCTCCAACTGACAAAAGGACCTTCATTCCTGGGTATTTAGACTTGAAGTTCGTAATGGCTCTGTAGTTAGCGTGTGAGCGGTCTACATCTAAGTTCTCGTTAAGGGGCACCATTTTGTAGGTGTCAGGGTGTACTCCAGAATATCCATACACCAAATGGGAGCAGAACGATAGAGCCGGGTCCAAATCCAACGGCAGCATCCGAGCTTGAGCTGGATAAATGCATCCTTCAACTATATTAAGATGTAACAACAAGAATAACAAAGGATGTGTTTTGCCAAAAAAAAAGAGATACGTAGTAAGTACAACTTCATAAATGTCTTATTCCGGTTTACTATTTTTAATTATTGTAGGCCTGTGGCTGACTTTATTTTATAGGATAAGGGTGACAAACGAGCACACAGTCCACCTTATGGTAAGTGGTTGCTGCGGCCCATAGACATCTACATCAAACAAAATGCAGATACGTTGCCACCCGTGAGGACTAAGATGGAATGCCTCATTTCCAGTAAAAGGATATCCGGTTCTCTACACTCACCATACCAAAACACAGCAGTGTCAGGCTGCTATTTTACGCAGGTATTCTGTGAGAGCGTGGTCCTTCCCCGGTCGAGCCGACCCATTGGTGCTACAACTATACTACTAATATAGCTGCAGCATGGCTCTACCAAGTATAAACTCTATGACTATGACTCAAATCTCACCTAATGGTCATGGGGCAATGAAGCCCAAGCGCTTGTTTAAAATTCCACCAAATGGTCAGTAGCGATGAAGCCCTAAACGGTGAATCGCATTTAGCGTTACAAAAGCTGATTTACTCTTGCCTTTTAGATACGCAGATTTTAATTGGACGGAAAGACAAGAAAGAAAGACTTACTGTAATAAAAGGCAATTCACTCTTGCCTTGGGGACACTTAGCCGGCAAATTAATTCACTCTCACTGTACGCATTACAAAATATAATATGGTACAGAACATTATATTAGAGGATCCATGTAACCGTTTAGTGGTGTTGTTACAGTGTTGTGGTGGTGTACCCACTACTCCATATCGTATCATGGGTGTCGTAAGAAGTGGCAGAGGGGAACAACCCAGGGGATAGGCAGCATCGTCTTCCTAATAATAACTAGAAAATAAATAAACTGTGGTTTCCAACCCGCCTGCCAAGCACGACAAGTAAATAATAGCAAAGTAAATGACTCTTATAAAGCAATCTGTAGGGACGTCTACGTTCAGTGGTGGACTTTTATAAACTGTAATACATTAATGAAAATTAGAAGATAAGTGATATTATGAGGAGTGTACAGCGTTCGTTCAGCGTTCAAAATGGCGGTTACTCGATAGGAATGCCGTATGCACCGCTATATCTAGATCGCTATTCGCTCATGCATTAGGGCCAATGGTAGAAGTTAAGTGTCCAACGTGCTACAGCAACTCAGAGCGTTGGGCGTGCATAATAAACAAACATTTTTATTAGTATAGGTGTACTGAATGTGTTTCTCTACGTCGCTCAGCCGACCGATCTTCGCGCACTCTTTAGATCGGGTAACTAAAGATAGCTTATTTATTGACTCGGGCTAAGATAAATAACGGAAAACACGATAATCTTTTGAACAAACTAATTCGCTTTACTCGCAGTTACAGTGAACAGGTTCTTGATTGCAAAACTGAAGAAACGTATTTACAGTTCACCTGATGGTAAGTGGCTACTGCAGTCCAAGGACACCAGCAACCAACTTTTTTTTTATAGGATAAGGATGACAAACGAGCACACAGTCCACCTGATGGTAAGTGGTATAACTCAGCTCAGTATATATATAAACTAATCATACGAAGGTGTAGAAATTTGTTTTGCATTCAGTCCAAAAGAATTTTTAATCGCCAATTATATTATTTTTATAGTTTTTATGAATATAGTTTTATGAACAGGCTGCCATCTATCGTCAAGGTAGCTAAACTACATCGATATGGAACGATGCGAGTAGTTTTACTATTTATCGGTAGATGGAGAATAGTAAAGTGGACGGGGCTTAACATCACCTCACCCCGCAAATTGTCACGCGTTGTTACATAGTGAAATCTAATTACAACACCTTCTCTTTGTATTTGCTCCGTGGTACCAACAAATAGAGGAAATACTAGCGACTACATTATTATACACAGCAAACAAAAAATTTGTGATCTCACTTTAAATTAATGTGCCATTTTCATTTTTTTTATAGGATAAGGGTGACAAACGAGCACACAGTCCACCCGATGGTATGTGGTTGCTGTGGCCCATAGACATGTACATTTATCCTCGATTACGAATCGAAATGCAGATGCGTTGTCACCCGTGAGGACTAAGATGGAATGCCTCGTTTCCAGTAAAAGGGTCTCCGGTTCTCTACACTCACCATACGAAACACAGCAGTGTTAAGCTGCTATTTTACGCTGGTATTCTGTGACAGCGTGGTCCTTCCCCGGTCGAGCCGACCCATTCGTGTTACAACTATACCAGAAATATAGCTGCAGCATGGCTCTGCCACTTATGAAATGAATTTCAAATAAGCAAGGCTACAGATGCGTTACAACCTCTGAGAACTAAGATAATAATCCTGTTGTTATATTGGTTTTCTGGTTACCCTTCCAACCGGACCACAGCAACGCTGGTATCGCTATTTTGCGGAAATAATTTAGTACCTACCCAAACGAACTCCTATACAGAAAAAGGTACCACCTAGTTATTTGCAATTTTTTTTATTTTAAATATAATCATACACTGATTACTTGAATATGCGTGGGACTAGTTCATACATAGCATGCGTAATATGCATGAACACTCTTTGGTTCCTGTTAAATTAACCACTTGATGCTAAGTGTCGTTATAAAGCAAGGACTAAATAAGATCATGCACCTTGAAACATGCCGCTTATGAAGCGACTTTTTCCTCATTGTCATTTATAAAAAAAAACAACACGAATTTTGTATTAGTGTATTCATAGAATAATAAAAAAATATATGATTTTTTCCAAACGAACAAAGTACAGTTCAAGGTGTGCGACTATATTAAATTTCAAATTATTTTTTGTGTTACTGTACTGAATTTCTATCGGCATTTGTTGCAACTTAACAAGTTCACGATTTTACTATTGCGGCTTGGCAAAGCTTTGTAAGACAATTTTCAAATGCCACGTAAAATTTATGTACGGTTTAAATGTTTAATAACAAACATGTATTTTATGTACATAAGTACGCGGTACATAATCACGGGAGACTATGGACTTCCATACGATACTGACACTGCTGTCTCGCTTCTTCCACACGTATATCCCTACGCATATTTGCTCGTCGGTTTTAAATGCTCTTAATTTGACTAATCTTCGTAGATATACGTATCGTCAATATGGTCGATAAACTTGCGACTAAGACGACCCTTGCTAACTCTGCCACTCGCTCTTCATTCATTATTTCTACTTTGACAAACTTTTATTTTGCTAGGCATACTTCTCTAATCATACAATAGCTCACCCTATCATTCAGAGTATGTTAATTTTACTATAGTATAAGCAGCATTAATTTTACTCTCATGCTTCTTCTGCCACACCCAACTGTCATTACCATACATTAATATAGGTCAGTACACAGCATTTTAAATTGCCACACGTACCTTTTCTGATACATTCTGATTTTCCTATTCTACTTGCTCAATTAAGTGCCTTCCATTCTTTTTCAACATATTGTTTTAATTTCTTCTCTTTTAAAACCGCGTTCACTGTCGTTCCTATTCCTTTTAATGATGCGTTTATTAGCAAGTCGCCCGACGATGACGTAAATACGACTTGATTCTCTAATATACATCCTTCGATCAACTTGTTGATCGAAGTATATATCATAATATTATATATTTAATAATCTAGGGATCATGATCGTCGGCATATACCTTTAAAAAAAGGAATAAACTATTGTAATATTATAGTAATAATATTTTCTATATGGAAGGTTTTGCTTGAAACCTATAACTGTTTTTATGCTATAAAAACAACCTTGGTTGAAAATAATATGAAAAGAAACAAGTTCTCTAATTTATTCTAATACTTTCTGGCATTACTTATTGCCAAAAAGTATTAGAATAAATTAGAGAAGATATTATATAAGATATAAGATTGGTTTTAGACCACAAGTTATAATTTTTATTAAAATGTACATTCTAGAACATTTGTCACAATGTTTGTTTCTTTTATCTTGTTGATACCACGGATACATAGGTCATGTGTCATTGTTTTCTAAGTAGGCGACAGTCTATCGCCCTGTTACTAATAAGTTATTACATATTTATCTTATTAAGGTCAAATTTGGTAAATAGGTATGAATTATGATTATTTTGAAATATGTTCTTCATATTATAACAAAAGCAATGCGTAATATAATTTAATTACATCAAAACGCATCATGTACGTTGTAAATTCTAACTATAATATTTTATAATATGCATTAAATTCGCATTTTTTTACAATTAACCGTTAGCGAACAAGTGGTAAAATTAAAAATTTTGTACAACCGAGTTCAATATAAATTATTAAGGATAACTTAAAAACTAGTAGTAAGACCTTGATCCAATTTATATGGGACCACATGAGAAGCACCAGCTTTCAAATAAAAATAAATACATTTAAAAAAAGAACAGTCGAATTGGGTACCTCCTCCTTTTTGAAGCCGGTTAAAAATATTTACTAAGCAACGTTAAATACCCAGTTAAACTAATAGGTCGGGGAAAAAGTTTCTTCGTATTTTGTTTATATAAAATTGAGGAAAAATCCCTTTGGTTGTACTGTATCTGACTGGTTTTAGTATCAATACATAAGGGACATTATGAAAAATAAAAATAAAAAGTAAAATACACTTTTCCGCCATTTTTCAATTGTTTTCTGTCCGCCAAAAGGAGTGACTCTTAACGAAGAAATCCGATACATTCTGAAATTTTATTACAAAAAAGAGAAAATTGCGACTCAAGTCGCGAAAAAACTTTGTGACATTAATGGCCCTAATGCAGTGTCAGTAAGGGTAGCACAATGTTGGTTCAAGCGTTGTCAGTCCTGGAATTTTGATGACAAAATGCAGCTCGCTCTGTTCGCCCTTATACAGATAAAATCGATGCTATTTTGAAAAAGTGAAGCAAGATCGGCATATAAGTAATTACGACATAGCCGAGGAATTGTGGATTAACCACAAAACAGTTTTGACCCATTTGAAAAAGTCTGGCTGTACAAAAATGCTCGATATTTGGGTACCACACGAGCTCACTGAAAAAAAAAACATAAATCGTGTCTCATTTGCGAGTAATTAATTAACTCATTGAAACGTAATGAAAGCGTACTATTTTTGAAAAGATTGATTACTGGTGATGAAAAGTGCATCACCTACTACAAGAACGTGCGAAAAAGATCATGGTTAAAGGATAGTCGAAATCCACGATTGTAGCGAAATCCAGATTAACACGCAATAAGGTGATGATATGTGTATGGTGGGATTAGAATGGCATCGTTTATTATGAGCTTTTACCGCCGTGCAAAACCATCAATTCGGATCTCTACTGCCAACAACTAATGAGACTCAATCAAGAAATTGAAAAAAAAAATGGCAGGAATTGATCAATAGAAAAGGAATGGTCTTTCATCATGATAACGCCAGACCACATCTTTGGCCACTCAGCAAAAATTGAAAGAGCTTGGTTGGGAAGTGTTCATGTATCCACCATATAGTCCTGACCTTGCACCCTCAGATTTTCACCTGTTTCGGTCTCTTTAGAATTCTTGGGTAGTTTTAGGTTAACATCAAGCGAGGACTGTCAAAGCTACTTATCGCTACACTACACTAGTTATTGAACAAAATGGCACATATATATTATAAATAAATGTAATTAAATTTTTTTTAAATATCTTGAATTTGTATATAAAATACGAAGAAACTTTTTCCCGACCTAATATTAATTTTGCATTCAATCCAATAAATAAATATTCATCTAATAGTTAAAATTGTATGTATTACCATATTAATAATGAATAACTTGTAATGCTTATAAAAATTATTTCGCCTATAGATTTTGTAGTGATAAATAACACCGAATTAGTAATGTTCAGATAATATTTTATTAAGTTATTCATTAAATAACAGTATTCAAGTTAAAGTACAGTTATATGAATTGTTTTCTAAACATATGTGGAATTCTCTGCAGAGGAAAAATACACGTCTTTGGTGACCTTATCTTTGGATGAACGTAAAGGTCTTATGGCGTAATGGTTCAGCCGAAAAGACTGGTTTAATTATAACAAATAATTTTTTACAAGCAACTAAAAAATTATCGAATTGTTCATTCTTTTTATTTCACTGATACGCGCATACGTAAACACACATCTACAAATCTATACATATAATAAATCTGTAGAAAAAAATTGTGTGTTCACGATTCACAGAAAAACTACTGGACAGATTTTCATGAAATTTTGTAAGTAGACAGTAAATAACCATGTATAACACATAGGCAACTTTTAATCCGTTTACGGAAGAGTAAAAAAGGGTTGTTTTTCCTTTTTGTTTTAGTTTATTGTCATTATGGCTGCTGATGGTTCTATTAGTCCTAAAGAGCATTTAACTATACGTATAATAAATCTATAGAAAAGTGTGTGTGAAAATAAACTCATCACGGCACCAACTAGAAAGGGCAGAATATCGTCTGCCTGGCTAGCTAGTATATAAATATAAATAACCAATTTTTTTAATATTATTACAAAAGGAGAAGGTAAAGAGAGAGGAGTATGAGCAATCGGGCCAACTCAGTCATAACACAAAAGCCAAAAAACATAATATTTACTTCCAACGCTGGCGCTTTTTGATTGGATAGGCACATAGCGTGCAATGTCTACGACGCCGCTGGTAGCTGGTTATTCGCTGTGGGAATAAGGAACGTCACAACCTCATGATAACAACTAAAAATATCTAAATAATTGTATTTAAAATTTCACCCCCTATTTTTCCATCTCTAGGGATGAATTTTATCTCTAAATTTAAATTGGGGCGACCCCTAAATAACCTATCTGCGAAGTTGAGACCATTTGACGTTGCTTATCTATTTGACGATGGTTAATAATTTCAGAACTCAGATGAACTTCATCTGAGTTTCAGAAGTACCGGAGAGATCGAACTCAGGTTGCTCACATGCTATAAATGTATGATGAAAACTCAACCTCTCAGCTACCACGTTATTTTTTATCAATTATGTTATTTATTGCGCCTGAGTTTTAACTTTTCATTGGCCAATAGGCTTTGCACGGATGATTACCGGATCTCGATAACAACGCCACCTACCGGGTCCTGTTGTGAATCTAAACCATCCAGGGACCCACCCAAAAACACACAAAATTTTTATCAAAATCTGTCCAGTCATTTTCGAGTTTTAGCGAGATTAACGGACAGCAATTGATTATTATATACAGAGATTATACCTTCTTAAAAGAACTTATAATCTGAAACGTTATTTAGAAGTGTAAAAAATTTATGAAGTTTAATAATAAACATAGATAATTCTAAAATTAACTGAATTCTCAAAATCACATATGGGCAGCCTTCATTTGCATATTACTTAATTTACAACTCGAGGCTAGTTGATGAGCAAATTTTGTCAGTTTACCTTCACGTCGTACCTACTTATTTACGGAGTCGACGACGGTTTTTGCAGTTAGAAAAATACGTGGGTATTTTTCTTAGGAAATATTTATTTTGTAAGTCACACATTTTAAATGATAAATACTTTCATTACAATACTAATTTAAACGAATGTTAGATACAGTTTTCTCTTAATTTTCAAGTAAAAATATTAATAACCTTTAAATTTAAAATTTGTTTTATTTCCTTTTATATTACTATTATTTGCTTTATTCAAATTAAAATTATTATGTTCTAAACATTCTAATGTTTTATAAAATTTCTAACCAGTTTTTCTAATCATTCCGAATCAAAGAGATTAAAATATATCTATACTATACTTAAATGTCTTTGTTCAGAATACAAATGATACTACATACTAATCAGAAACATTTTTACTGGTGATCGAACATTCCATTTTAGTCCTCAGTGGTGAGAAAATATAACACATTTTCATTTTGATTTTTAATCAAGGATAAATCAAGGTATATCAAAATTATGTATATTTAATAAACTAATTATACCATTATTTTAATTAACTTCACAATGCAATGGCATGAAATTAGATCAAAATTAGTTCCATTACTGATTATTTAAGCGATAATATCTTTGGTTAGACTAAACGTAAATTTCCACTGATTCCACTAATTACCAGTAATTATAAATTACGCAACAATATTTTTAAAATGCATTGCAAGTACATATAAAACTACTTAATGATTTAAAATGGAAACGTGTTCATGTTATTGATACTGAACAATCAGTATACGCTGGGCTAGATTTAGAACACGTTGCAGACCTATTCTTTAGGTCGTATTACTTATTCTACAAGTCACCTTATATAACCTGTACAACGGCATTCAACCGTTTTAGATAGATTTATTAAATAATCAAAATTAATAAAAATCCGCTTGATTTTTTGTTAAAATCAATAACCTTGTTTTCCATTATTATATTCTAAGGCTTGATGAAAAGGTCGTTACATTTCTTGGCAGCAATACGCTTTTTTTAACATTAGCATTAATCTAGAAAAACAAACTAGCATTCATTGATTATAGCCTATCAAAGCCCTCTGTTGAACATTGGTCTTCCCATAGATTACCTCATAAGGAAGATATTTGCCTTTGTTGCCACGCTTGGTTGGCAACCATTGCGAGATTTTTATTTTAAAGTTGTTGTTAGGAGCGTTTACTGATTTACTTCGCTATGTCGCTTCTAACGGCACCAACAGGATGATATAGGGCGGTTAAAATATACTAATATTTTTTTGTTTTAATTAAATAATTACTTAAATAATGTAGTTAATACTAGTGTGATATTAAAAAGCACATTACGGAAATATCTAATTTATTTTTATGGGGAAAATTTATATAAAAATTCCATACGATATTTTTATGCCACTCAACCGTTACAGCCTATTAAAAGTCCACTGCTGAACACAGGCCTCGCCCACATTTGTCATAGTTGGCACGCTTGGCAGGCGGGTGAGCAACCGCAGATTATTTTAAAGGCAAATGCTTAAAAAATGTGGTGAAACTAGTTATAGACAAGTACAAAAAAACTAAACATTTTTAAACTTTTTTGAAAAATTGTCTTTTATAATCATAAATTAGAATAATCTACCAAGACATTGATACTCGAATAGTACAAAACTAAAATTAAGTGAGAAATCCAAAACCGGTTCGCGAGTTAAAATTCGCTCAGTAAAGGCATCTTAAAAAACGCTCAGCAATAAAAATTTACACTTACATTCTCTGACATAGCTCTTGCTGTCATAATAGCAAATTACTTTGCCAGTGGGTACCGGCGCGTTGGCTGCAACCACAGCTAAGGCTGCGACAAAAGCGATCAGGGCCCTCATGTTGATGCTGAGTTCGTGCGATCACCACGGAGCGTATGTGGCGAATGAGCGTTCTCAAAGCCCACTCAGATCGGTTGACCGTAACCGTGAGGTCAAAGAGTAGTAATGAACGTTGTACAAGTGCTATTTATCAGTCAACACTTAACATTGAATGACGATAATCTTCGACCTGCGTATAAGTGACGAATCGCAAGTCGCAACGAAAGATGGTAGGCAATGCAAGCATTGTGTTGAATTTTAAAGTTTTAACGTTAGTGGGTTCATGTACAGACCTTTAACATTCATAAAACTACTATAGGTATAAATATCTTTAAAAAGTCAGTAGGTATGTAGTAAACAAATAAGGACTAAAGGAGTAGAAAAATAAATAAATAATCTATGAACTTCTTTAATTTCTTTATTTCTTTAAATTCCTTCTATCACGAAAGATATTTAATAAATCATTATTTGCATTCTACCAGTGACTGAACAGTCTTACCCATTTAGTAGATTATTATTCTCGTGTAGTGGAAGTCTGAGCCTATACTAAATATATGTATATAATTGAGATTCAAATTCAAATACAAAATGCACTTCAAAAATCATGCTTTAATTGTTTTTTTTTAACTAAAGTGACAAAACAATCTACAGTCTATCTTTTTTTATAATATAGGGTTACAAACGAGCACACAGTCCACCTTAAGACAAGTGTTTGTTGTGACCCATAGACATCTACATTTATCACCCGTGAGGACTGAGATGGAATGCCTCTTTACCAGTAAAATGGGTCTCCGGTTCTCTACACTGACTATATCAAACACAGCAGTGTCAAGCTGCCATTTTACGCCAGTATTCTGTGAGAGCGTGGTCCTTCCCTGGCCAAGCCGACCCATTTGTGCTATAACTATACTACTAATATAGCTGCAGCATGCCTCTACCACGTATAAACCTGAAGATAAGTGGCTACTGCAGTTTATGAACAACCGCAGCCCACTTGAAATAAATGAAGCTACAGATGTGTTACCTCTGAGGGCTAAGATGGAATATCTCACATATTGTTATTATACTGGATCTACACGCTTCAGATCGGAACACTAATTTTTAGTCAAAGGGGGTACCTACCCAAGCGAAATTATAGGCTAGACGAGTCCCAATACCTAGTAAGTAATATTAGAACTAGTAATTCCAGTAACATTAGAACTAACACAAACTAAACATCCTTTTTACTCATTGCAACCTAGTGGTTATGTAGTTCACGCATGCATATTATATATAGGTTATGTAATGGATAATAAAGTAATACACTGGCAAAACCCTATTCGCTCTTGTCTTCAAGTAAACCCGTGGTGTTTTTGGGTGGAAAGAATATATTTTATTTGTTCGTTTTTAAATAGAGTTATCAAACACAAAAAGAAAGATGGTTTGCTAAAAACATTTTTTTATAGGATAGGGTGACAAACGAGCACACAGTCCACCTGATGGTAAGTGGTTACTGTGACCCGTATACATCTACATCTATCATCAATAAAGACTCAAGATGCAGATGCGTTGCCACCCGTGAGGACTAAGATGGAATGCCTCTTTGCCAGTAATAAGGGTCTCCGGTTCTCTACACTCACCATACGAAACACAGCAGCGTTAAGCTGCTATTTTACACTGGTTTTCTGTGAGAGCGTGGTCCTTTCCCGGTCGAGCCGACCCATTCGTGCTACAACTATACTACTAATATAGCTGCAGCATGGCTCTACCACGTAAAAACAACATGTTAAACTTCTTGACAGAAACTCGCAAGTGCATCGTTCTTCTTTGTTTCTTTATTATCGCATAAAAAATTACTGCTGGACGTAAGTATATGCATTTTAAACCACGTTAAAGGTTGCAAATGATTTAAGTTGCATAATGTTTATGTGAGTGGATATAATGAGCTGCGCATAGTTTTGGCTCGGATTTGTATTACATGAAATGTACTTGCGTACTTGCGTCTTTCTTTGTTAGTCCGAGTCTAAAATTGCAATTTGCCTCTGTTTTAAATCAATTTGTTGCACGATGGATATATGATATTATGACGACAGAGAGGCACAGTGGTCCGAGTACCTGGTTACTAAGTTACGAATGGCGGGTTCAAATCTAGGCCAGAGCTCACAATTTTTTTTTTATTTGTACTAGTGTATATTATACAACCCAGTATCTAACACTGAATACAACGGCTGAAACTGATGTGTCATATAGGATATAAGTGTTACAAGGAGTTAAAAGCAAGGCACAGACTTTACCAATATAATTTCTATTTTCTTATATAAAAATGTCACTTCTACGATAATACTTCTTCAGTAAGTAACTAAATATATTTAAAACAAGGATTTTATTTTTGAATTTTGTATTTTTAAACGTTTTTTTTTTCATATTTCTACATTGTCATCCGATTCTGAGCTATGTTCAAAATGTCAAGTCTGTAGCTAATCGGGAAGTGCTCGAAATTTGAGTCGCAAGATTCCACCCTGACCCAGACAGACAGACAAACAAGAAAGTGACTTAATAAAAACGTAATAATAATAAATAAATATTAAGGAAGAAGGCTACAAATTTTAAGCCCAAGTATTATACCTAAATGCATGATAAATAAGCTTTGATTTCTTAGTCTATGACAGTTACCTTCTCGATGATATCATTGGCAGTTTAATAAAACGATTCCGTACGACAACTTTTTTGTTTTTTTTTTGGTACCTACCGCTAAAACGTAATGATATAATCTCTACTCTTTGCCTACCGTCTTTATCAAAAATAAATAATAAAGTGAGCGAATAATATATCGATGTATAGGCCAAACCGCTTATGGTTTAAGAAATTTTGATTTTTGCACAGAAATTTACATACAGATTTCGTAATCTGCGTGGCGTTTATTTCATACAAACGTATTCGTCTTTTTTCCCTGTATTAAATTATTAAAACTTTCCAGCTACGAGTATACTATCGTTATTGGAGATCTAGCAAATAAATATAACTAAAAATAAGGAAAATACATACAGATAACCATATATTGTTTGTTACATTGTGAGCCATATATTGCAATAATGTTTCTTACATAGTCCTTCCAAAATTGCACTGATTTTATTCCAAGAACAATTTCCTCTTAAATCAAATAAACGTCGCAATATGGAGTGATTTCGCTTATATTTTAGGTGTAATCATTCCAATGTACGAGCTGTCGTTGTCTTTTTCGGTTGTCTTTCATGATATGTACCTGTATATAAAAAAGGGTTGTATCAGTCGGTCATTCCTTAAAGGTAAAATCTAAAAAATTTATTTATTTTTCAATATATATATTTTGTCATCATTATTACATAATATTATCTTATTTATTTTATTTATTTATTTATTTACTAACTCACAATTGTTATTACAGGAGTGGAGCCTAATGCAACAATGTGGCCACTAATGTAAAAAAGACAAATAGTTTAATGTCACCCTCTCGAATTCCGCCAATGTACAATTAAATATGTCTAATCGTTGTGCTACGATCTTATCATAATCAGGCAAATAATTTAGAAATAGACAACAACCTGTATAAAAACTATTCTGAAAACTCCTTATGCCCCATATTGTTAACTTATTACTATAAAAAGAAGTTGATACAATAATATTTTAAGACATAGCAAAATAACAGGTTTAATTTATAACACATAAGTGTCCATTACTTTAGAAAGTATCACAACTATTAATCTAGAATACATTCTATACTCATAGTTGTGTGTCGAATCAATTAGAAACTAATTGTATGCCATTTTTGGTTTTTTAATATGCTTATCAAGAGATTTTTTCTAAAATGTTGTATTTTTAATATACTTCTTTTTCATCATATTCTTGCATTTTCATCCGGATTTGAGCTATATTGAAAATTTCTAGTTTCCAGCTCATCGGGAAGTTAGTTTAAAATCGATTACTAAATTCCACCGGAACGACAGAAAAACAAGAAAGTGACTTATAAAAACGTGATAATAAAAAATATAATTTCAATGCGTCTTTATTTTCTAGTTTATATAACGTTATCTTCATCTTTGACCAATTTTATTATTGTTCAATACAGTTACGTGCGGGGTGAGTAAATATGCCGATTAGGACGAGAAATGGATGTATTCCACGTGTACAATCCCGTTATCTAACACATATCTTCGGAAAGGTTTTTTATAAAACGCTATGCAACACGCAACTGGCTATCGTAACAATACGTATAGCTGTTTGGTGGTGAGAATCCATCATGATTAAGGCAAGTCTTCCCTACAACATTTCCGTTGTCTGTCCTGTTGTCCGTGACCAGTAGTGGACTTTTACGAGCTGATGGCGATATATATATATATTCACAGTGGATCTATATTATAATTTGATTAAAATTGATGATTTTTGAAACCGGTTTATGTTTTTTGATTGTTAAATTATCACGTTCTCATTAATTATTCTATTGTACGGGTAGTAAAATGAAAACACTCTGTACACTGTATAATCATTCATCATCATTGCCTTCACAAGTCTACTGTAGATCATAGGCTTTCCCCAATTTTAGATTGTAGATTCCACAATTCGGAGCCATCTGCATCCATCAACTTTCTGCATGCCTTGCTAGGTCGTCACTCAACACTTGGAAATCTATACAGAGTTACTAAGCTTCAGCGAATTTTTTTTAAACTAACGTAAAACAGTTACCAGTTATCAACTACGTCACAATGTTCTTTCACACATAAGGTAAACTTGAATTCAACAACACGACATTTAATGGAATTACGAAGATCAATTGATTCAATAGTTCGTAGTTTTTCAATAGAACAAATTAGATCCTTTTTTGATACAGCCTTGATGTAGACAAATGAATCACATCGAATTAATGAGAATAATCTACGTCTACCTGATTTACTAGTAAATAAGACTCTAACATTCTCTTGCCTATTTCTGCAATCAAGCAGCAGTGCACGTTCAAGGGTAGGAAATCCAGTGTAATTACAGACTGTGACCACAAAGTAAAGTGTTTTTTTTTTAATTTTGTGCCGTAATGCAAACTTTCTAGTCCTCAGATATGACAATGCACCGCACTGTTACCAAATACTTTCTTGTTTAAAGCTACGTACACACTCGTGTGCACATTCGAATACTATTCTAGTATAATTGTTCTCATATTTAACTATATTTATTTTATTTATAAGCAGACCTTTGTACACTTAAGAAACCAACGCGTATACATGCACACATTATTTTTCAATTACAAAAGTATGGAATAGGGATAGTTAAATTTCATTTACTGTTATTCCTTAATGTTATATTTAAATAAGATGGAATCTTATTATAATCTCTCTTGTTACATAATGTGTAATATATTATATAATATGTTCAATAGTTTGAGCGCTCTGTACTCAGATTATTAACTCTACGATGGAGCTTGATGAGTAACGGCCATCGTACCCACGCCCAAGTACTGCTGAAGTGCCTCAGTCTTTTGTTCTATAATCTGAGGTGCTAACCATTCTGTATCATTAAGTTGGTAGCCTGTAATTGTCTTCATTTTGTAAGTTGGTAGCCGCATTTCGAATCAATACCTATCTATCTAGAACTAGCATACCGTTTTCAAACTTGTAAGAAAACACATACATATTTTCACACAAGCAACGAGCTTAATTACGCTGCATATTTTTTTTGTGCAGAATGTATACTGAGGTGTATATCAGGTGTGTTGTTTGGAATCTTGCATTTTCCATTGCTGCACTGCCCTTCATCCTTAGACTTCAAATTCTTCTTGAGAACTTGTGTTCGTGAGGGTCGAACCAAATTTTTTCTTTTACCCTTGCATTCATAGCTCCAATGTCCGTACTCCAAACATTTCTGACAGCGAATGCCTTGACGTAAAGCTGCGGCTAAGGCTGCTTGCTTTTTCCTTTGGGCCTGATGTCTATTATATGTCCCCAACGTCATTTTGTTTCGATTACTTTCGATAAACAAGATAATTATTTAATTCCACTAGTAAAATACTATCGATTAACTGCAATCTAAATTAAAGCCTTTCAATCTGCAATCTGCACTTCAACTGCAGTTCTGTAAGTGCAAACACAAACAAAAAAAAATTGTGTATATCTTGCTAATGAGTATCCCATATGGGCGTTTTATATATTCGATAATGCTGCTTACGTATGCCTTTTTAGTGCGATGATATAATATCTGCAGTCGATAAAGAAATCAGCGGTGCGATTTCGTAACTCTGACGAGAAACTTGGGTGACTTTGTTTGACGTTTGGTTTCGTTGAATTGTATAAATGGATCGAAATGAATGTACGAATTATAACCAGATATCTTTTTTATTAATATCTTATTTAAAATTTGAATGTTTAGTGTAATTACTATGAAAACACCAGTTGCGAAATGGTTCACCTGCCGTCGCCAAATCATTACTTAAACAAAATGTAAATGTGTGTACAAAGAATTTTACATTTCATAAAGTATCATCAAAAGATATTGTAAAATATTTTAAAACTATTATTATATATATATATTAAGACTTAAACTGCAGATCTGTGGAAGATTTCCTTTAAAGTTATTGCGTCTATAATAGCTATAGCTAAAAAATTTAATATTAGATCAAGAATAAATTTTTCAAAAATTCTACTAAGTGTTGTCGGTAAAAAAATAGGTCTAAATTTGGCGGAGTGTAATGTACTACCAGATTTAAATGAAGGTATTACTTTACTATGTTTCATTAAATCAGGAAATACACCAGATTCGATACTATTATTAAAAATAATAGCTAGTTGAGGCACCTCAACTAGCTATTATTTTTAATAATGGTGTATTTCCTGATTTAATGAAACATAGTAAAGTAATACCTTCATTTAAATCTGGTAGTACATTACATTCCGCCAAATTTAGACCTATCTTTTTACCGACAAAACTTTGTAGAATTTTTGAAAAAATTATTCTTCATCAAATATTAAATTTTTTAATGAAAATCATTTACTTCATAAAACTCAATTCCGATTGACAAGGGGTCGCTCGCGAACTGATGTCAGTGTTGAGCTGAGTGGACCGTAGTGAGCTGATTAAATATATCTTCAATGCATGGAAGAATTCACAGGATGCTTTGGGTATATTCTCTGACTTTCAAAGCCTTTGATTATATTCACCATGAAACATTAATCAGGAAACTTCAACAGTAAGTAATAGAACGCAAAAAGTTTAAGTGTCATTAATAACTCTTCTAGGTCGATAGTACAAATGGGCGTGCCTCAGTTCTCAATTCTCGGTTCCTTTGTTTTTTTTTTATATATTAATGACTTATCTTACATAGTAGGGGATAACCATGATATAGTATTATTTGCTGATCACACTTCATTAAGCAATTTTCAAATTAAATAGACAATAACTAAAATATGACGAAGTAAATAATGTTATATCGAAATTAGTAAATTGGTTTAATATTAATAATTTGCATTTAAATGGCACTAAAATGAAATGTATAAAATTCATGACTCCAAATATCAAACATGTAAATACTAATGTAATTTTAAATGAGGAGGAACTGAGTCTTGTTGATAGGGTGGATGGCCCTAATACCAGCCATGCCCCTAATTCCAGTCTTTTGGCCTTTTTATTTCGTTAAATAAGGTTTTTTAGTTTTTAGTCTTAACTAACTAAACTTAATTAAACGTAACCAGAGGAAAGTATATTTCAAATATTACCTCACAGTTTTAAACCTAACAGTTTTAAATTAAAAATCAAAACACGTACGCGACGAATAACGCTCATTTTCCTAATTTTGTGTTGAGGTGTTTTAAAACTGGTTTTAGATTTTAAAGTTTAGCAAAAGATTTACTACCTTTTCTATCTGACATTCAATGTATATTACACCTTATGTATTCAATTATTTTTGAGAAAGAAGAAAAAACAAGCAAATAATAGTATACTATATTTATTGCATACTTCGATCAACAATTGATCGTAGATTGCATATAAAGATAAAGCTATAACTTAGTAATACTCATTATAACTTAGAACATAAGTGAAAAACTCATGACAAGGAAAGTGGTTTGGATTCAGGCTTTGCGGCAGTCTATGGAGGAGGATGTCCCGTAGTGGACTTGTGTGAGATTATAATGACGATGATGATTTGAAAACTTGGATGATTAAATTATTAGAAATCGATGTATTACTTAATATTTTATCACAATTTGCTTTAATTTATTGAACTGCTTTAAACTAAAACACAGTAAATTAAGTAGTAAAACATTAAAATAAAATAATGTTGTCGTGTTCCTTAATACATATTCCATGCTTGTAACATGCAGATTAAAATTAAAAAAAAATTAAAGATTAGAAACCTGCTAGCTTTTAATTAAACTAGCAGAGTTCTGTTTAATACAGCACCAAATAGAAGCACCATTTTTAATGTCATAAACTACTACTTTGACATCTATAGCAGAGTATGTAATGAAAATATTGACATCAGAGTGGGTTATCACCTAATGATATAAGATAATAAATTAGTGCTCAATTAGTGCTACAAGCAAATGCGAAACAAAAGCACAAAAAAAATTCTCTTTATATTCCGTAAACTGCTACTTTGGCATCTATAGCAGAGTATGTAATGAAAATATTGACATCAGAGTGGGTTGTCACCTAATGATATAAGATAATAAATTAGTGCTCAATTAGTGCTACAAGCGTATGCGAAAAAAAGCACAAAAAATAAATTCTTTTTATATTCCATAAACTGCTACTTTGATATACTTAGCAGAGTATGTGCTGAAACATTGACATCCAAGTGGGCTATCACCTAATGATCTAAGATAATAATTAAGTGCTCAGTTAGTGCAGCAAGCACATGCGAGAAATAAGCGCTATGCAAAATTAAATTTTCATATTCCGTAAACTGCCATTTTGATAAGTTTAGCATAGTACGTGATCTAAAATTGACATCCAGTTGGGGTATCACCTAGTGATATAGGATCATAATTCAGTGCTCATTTAGTGCTGTCGATGTACGAAAAAGGATTTGGGATTTTTTTTGAAAAATACCTTATCATACCATAAAAACGAAAGAAATTTCTTAAAAAACGAAAATGTTCAAAATTGTGTTTGTTATTGACCCTAGTAATTAATTTATTTGTATTTCTTAATCAATAATATAACACGTTTATCAATAATAATATACTACGAAAAGAACTTCGTTCCATCCGAGTGTTCCACGACACTCACGCATGTTTTTTTTTTTGTATTTTGAGTGTTTTGCGGTCCCAATAATATGTATATCTCTATATATAAAAATCAATTGCTGTCTGTTAGTCTCGCTAAAACTCGAAAACGGATTATGATGAAATTTTTCGTGTGTGTTTGAACGGGTTCCTAGATTGTTTACATTCACATTTGGACCCGGTAGGTGGCGCTGTTGTCGAGATGCACAAATCACCCGTGCGAAGCCGGGGCGGATCCCTAGTTATATATAAAAATAAAAAATAAACTTTTTTGTAAATTTAATTATCAAGAATCTGTCAGGTTGCATAATTGAGTACGATACAGCATAAGTAGTATTTTGAACTCAAGCAGTTCACAACTTCGTTTAGTCTCTTCACGTTTTTGTCTCGCCCCCGCGAAGACAACGCAGCGCAGCGGGTATCCGTTTACACGACGTACTTGACACTTAAGGTAATAGTGCTAGGTTACAAAGGACGAGGACGCTAGTGACGAGCGACGGACTCCAGTATTATAATTATAATATTTTTATACGTGGTACAGCGATGCTGCAGCTATATTAGTAGTATAGTTATAGCACGAATGGGTCGGCTCGACCGGGGAGGGACCACGCTCTCACAGACTACCAGCGTAAAATAGCAGCTTAACACTGCTGTGTTTCGTATGGCGAGTGAAGAGAACCGGAGACCCTTTTTACTGGAAATGGGGCATTCCATCTTAGTCCTCACGGATGACAACGCATCTGCATTTTGGTTTGTAATAGTGGATAGATGTAGAAATCTATGGGCCGCAGCAACCACTTACCATCAGGTGGACTGTGTGCTCGTTTGTCAGTCAACCTTATCCTATTTTAAGCCGTTTTTGAGTTTTAGTGAGACAGCAATTGATTTTTATATAATAGAGATTTAAAACAAAAACACCTTAAGTTTAATGATGCCTATTAAAATTTTTAGGTAACATTATCCTTCACTTAAAATTAAATTAGGAATACGTACAATTTACACAGGCTTAGCACAGATAAGAGTCTATGGTAATGGTTGTAGCTTCGTCAAGATCCAGTCCAAGATTAAGCCGAGTTCCACAGTTGCCAAAGTCTCAGTAAATTGCTACGACTGAATGTATCGATCTACCAAGAAGTGACTTGATCGCCGCGACTGGATTTTGTATGTGCATGGATTGGAGTATTGAGATTCGGACGCAGCATCTTGCTTCCGAACAGCAACTACGATCGTCGATGCTAAAAGTTATCGTTACCAGCTTGGGTCTTACTTTCGAAGAGCATTATTCATTATTTCTTATATTACGAAGAGACAAATGAAAAAAGAACTTTTGTTATTATCTGGTATGACACCGCGATCAAACGTAGTAAATCCCCCAAACGCGCTAAAGTATGTATGCAGCCGCAAAAATGCTCGTCACTGATGCTGTGAGTCAATGGGTCAATAAATATTAAATTAATAAATTGGGTCAATAAAATATATGGTAACCTCGTACCGGTAAGTGAAGTGTCCCCACTAGGTGAAATGATGACCCGGTAAGATATGTAAGAAGTCGATGCTTTGTGGCATCCCTTGAGGGCTTATGTTCAGAGAGGACCTGTGAAGAACTATAGTGATGATGATGCTGAAAGTACCATGTGTGCTTTAGCCGTAAGCCTAGGTGTAAAATTAAAATTAGAGTGTTAATTTTTGACAGATATTTATCATCTAAATTGATTTTAGTTTTAACTAATA